GCGGTGATGCGTACACCGTCGCCACTCTCGTCGAGGACAAAACTGCAGGGCTGACGATGCCCCTCGCTATCAAAGATGCCAGCCTCTCACTGCTGGCCAGTAGAGTTGCTTGAGAGCCTGGAGCAAGCTGCCTGCCTCTCGCTCCAAGGGGCCCCTCGGCGCTGGGCCGTGCGCCGCCTCCGCCTTCTCCACCTTCGCGAGGTAGTCCACCAGGATCGGGTAGAGGGAGTTGGCGGTCGGCACCCTCGAGTTCAGCACGAAAGACAGGACCCCCTTGGCTTCCTCTCCCGTGGTCCTCGCCTTGGGGTACTTGCAGTAAAGGACCATCTCCGCGATCTCCTGGGGCTTCTTGGCGGCGATGACCTGCTGCCAGTTTTCGAGGAAGATCTTGCGCCCGCTTGCGTTCGGAGCCCCCCCCCCCCCCCCAGGCGCCGTGATCTCCATGCTGCGCTTGATGATGGCGCCGAAGAGGTGGACGTGAGGCGGCCCGCGGGCCTTGAAGTCGACCGACTCGCCTCCCGCGACCTTCTCGCGGAGCCTCTTGCCCTCGCCGTCGTAGTCGATGCCGCTCTTGCGGCACACCTGCCCGAGACTGCCCTCGGCCTCGCTGATGAACATCGCGGTGTAGCACGCGCTCTCGAGCTGCGCCGCCTGCGTGGCCGTGGTGAGGGCGAGCTTCGCGATGATGACCAGCAGCTGGTCGGCCTTCTCCTTGCGGTTGCCTGCCTTGCCCCGCTTCGGACGCGGCGCCGATGCAGGGGGGGAGGCCGCCCTCGCCATCCAAGAGGGCATCGCCACGTCCGAGGTCATGGCGGAGACGCTGTCGCGCGAGGAAACACGCCCCCGAAGAAACCGACCAGGGAAGGTGAGCCCGAAGATGGCTACATAGGTCGTCGTAGTCAGCCGACTCGTACGAGCAAATGCGACACCCAAGATCCCTCGGTTCAACTCTGGTCGCAATCGCACTCGGCCCTCTCGTTCCACAGCGCCCCCCTAAATATCGAACCCTCGAGGTGTCGATAGGTCGTTTGCCTACTCCAGAAAATCGCCCTACACACTATACAGTCTTTGGACGGGCATAGCAGAGCAGCTAAATTATAAACGCCGTGCTTGTGCCTCAAGTGCTCAGTGAGTCCCCGCTTCGCGCAGAAAGAATCGCCACATTGCGCCCCCTCCCCTTTCGTCCAGGAACACACGTACGGGGCAACAGGGTCGGGGGGGGAGTCGAGCCTACCAGGGGCCCCAGGTTCCGAGACGCCTCGAAGTGGGCCAGGGGGCGCAATCGTGGCCGTGAAATGGTGACTACGCAGACGTCTGAAATCCAGGCGAACGAAATCCTCAGATATTTCTTTATCCTCCATAAGGAGCCAGGGGCGGTCCGCGACACGCAAAAGCGCATCCCTGTCACCGGGCATGACTTCGATCGCGGCGCGAACGTCGTCCTGGATGCGTTCGGCCCAGGGATTCGCAAACTGACTCAGGCCATCCTCTGTGCACGGCAGCTTTTCCGCAGGTTCAAAATCAAGGGCCCCAAGGAGCATTGCTAGAACATGCGCGTGCACCCGAGTCCGAGAGACCCAAGATTGATACCAGCCTAGCCTACGGATTCGGAGCTCCATTTCGCACGGCACAAATTCCCAGGAGGCCAATATCTCAAGAGAACTCATGCGGGCAGTGACCTCCCCCTGTTCGTTGCGTTCGCACGCGGATCCGTGCGTAGCAATCTTACAGAGGGAGGCGAGACAGTGGTCCAGGAGCGAGAGTTGACGGGGGCTGAGTAAAACAACTTCCAGTGCCGACAGGAGGGTGTTTTGCACTGAACCAATCAGTACCGTGCGCCGCCAGCGTTGCGGCGTGCTGGCAGACCAAAAGCTTGCCATGGCATAGAAGGCGGCACGGGCAGCCGCCATCCTACGCTCCACCTCGATGGCCGCTGAGGCGTCCTGCGTGACGATCGGCCCCAGGTGCCTTGTCGCCTCCTCAACTCGTCCGTCGACTCGGCCCCGTGCGATGGCATGCTGGAGCCACCGCTTGCACTGCTGCGAGCCCGTCCCCTGGAGCATGAAGCACGCCACCTGCTTGTCGCGGCTCTGCGCCATCCCATCTTGCATGAGGCACTCGTCCAGGATGTCGTCACTGCTCTGCATCCTCCTGAGGGCCTCGTCCATGTCGCAACCGACCTCCAAGGGTATGACGCGGCACAGGTCATCGGCGTACTTGGACAGCGAGACGTCGATGGTGAAGTCCTCGAAGCCCCCGTGCAGCGGTCCCGTGATCCCCTCCTGCGTCAGTCGCTGGGGCCACTTGTCGACGGGGGCGACAAAGGCCGCCGCGAACGCCTGCACCGCGAACGGGTCCCCCATGAGGCCACCCTCGCCCGTCTTCAAGACGAGGGCCCGTCGCTCGTGTCCACCTCCACGACTGACGGGCGGCACCTGTCGCGGCAGAGCGTCTGGTTCTGCGGCTCCACCAAGCCCTCATCTAGGATGATCTCGTCGAACCTGTCCCAGGACACGTTGCCGAAGGCGTTCGCCATGTCCTTGAGCGTCGCCACCCACGACCAGCCCAACTGCCTCAGGCGCCACGCCAACACCTGAGTCGCCAGCAGAGCTCCCTCCCTGCGCCGGCGAGGGGCGAATCCGTGATCTTGTGGGGCCAGCTGCGTTGTGAGCTTGTACGCGAAGTAGCCCTTCCCCACAGCGGGGGGAGAGTGAATAACTCTCCTTCCCTTCGTGCCAGGCTTGTCGTTCTTGGCGAGTCCGATGCCCATGCTGCGGTGCTAGTACAGGGGAGTCTTCTCCGTGCGCCTGGTCAGCGTCAGCGCGCGCAGGAGGGTCTCATCAAACAGCTGCATCCCCTGCACCGCCCTCTCAAAGTCCACGCCGTGGGGTAGCTGGCCCATGGCCCTGTCGGGCCAGAGGCAGAGGTCCCAGAGCTCGAGCGCCGCCGTGCCAGTTGGAACTGTGCGCCTCTTCTTGGCGCGACGGACGTAGCGCCTCAGCTCCTTGCAGTCATCCTGTGCGTAACCGATGTCCATGGCATCGGCAGGTGGTGCTGGGGGCGTGCCTGTTCTGCTTGCACGCCGCTCGCCCCGATCAACTTCGTGCGCCCTCATGCCCCCCTGGGCGCCAGGCCTCCCCCAAGCCTCGACCCAATCCGACCGTGGCAGCGGGGGGGGGGGCAAGGCGGCGCCCGTCTCGTCGCTTCGCGCCCAGTCGACAATGTCCGAGTAGTCGTGAAAGACGCATCGCCTCGGCGGTGTCCCTCTTCTCCCAGGCCTCACGCACCTCCTCCTGGAGCTGGTTCCTCTCTGCGATCTTGCGGGCGCGGTGCTCCGACTTCAGCTCGGCCGAGAGCGTCTTGAGCTCAGTCTCCAGCTCCCGAAGCCGGTTCTCATCTGCATCCAATCGTCCTCGTCGAAGTCGGGAGCGTTCCTGGAGGAGTTCACGTCGTCTAGCACATCGTTGGCTACGCGCCTCTCCCCCAGGTGGCCCCCCGAAGTGCGTGGCGCCCGCCGCCATGAGGATGCTCTCCAACTCCTCCCAGGCAGCGTCGGGCGCACCCTCCATCATACATGCGTCAATCTATTCACTTCTCTCCCGAATCCGCCTCAGCACATCCTCCAATAACTCCTTCTTCCCCCTGCCGTGGCGGACCGCCTGCGTCGACCTCGTGCAATCGAGGCGCGGCGGGGGCATTGGCAGCAGGGCCCAGGCATCTTTCTAGCACGCAAGCTCGAGCAAGAGGGGGAGGTGGTCCCTCGGCGGCGCTCCTGGTAGCACTTGCCACTGCGCTCCAGGCCGTGCAGAACGTGGCAGCACAGCACACGGGGGAGCCAGTCCTGCGGTATGAAGAAGTGATCGATGACCGAGCCCGCGGATGGCGTCTTGGTCGTATAGAAGGTGTACTCAACTTTGTCTGCGAAGGTGGACGGGGCGGCCATATGCTGGGTATCCAACATGCCCCTCACCACCTCACCCGCTCCTCCTCGTCGCTGCTCTCGACTTCGAAGATGCCCCAGGGCCTGGGACGGCGGTGTGGTCCATCCCCCCACCTGCTTCTGGATCCCCAAACCGTCGTTCAGGTAGGCGTGAAAAAATGGCAGCGTCCTCATGGGCGCTTCCTGGTGTATCTGCTGCCACCAGTCTCGCAGCAGCTTAGCCGCGCGGAGGTAGCGGCTGACCTGAATGCGCTCCCTCGGCTGCGACGGGAAGTAGATCACCCCGACCAGGATGTCAAGACAACCCTTGCGACTTCGAGCCGCTAGGGCCCGTCCTCCCGCTCCTGGTGGCGATCCCCATGTGCGGACAACGTGGGAGTCGCGGAGCCGTTTCCCCAGGGCGATGGCGCAGCCCGCGCTGTGGTTCGTGTACGCCCCCTCAGTGTACGGCGCCTCCAGCACAAGTCGACCTTCGCACCGACGACGGAGGACTCCCTCTCCTCCAGAGTGGCAGTGTACCTTGGTGCCCGCGAGGAGGAGGGCGTCCGCAGCGCGGCAGCCGATCAGCAGTTCCGAGAGCCTGGCCCCAACAGCGTGGAGCGGGTTGAACGCCAGGAGGCGGAGAGTCGATCTCAACGCTGGCGCCATGGCGGCTCGCGCATGTCCTGTGGGAGGACGACCTGCATCAACTCTGCCTCGGTGTGAGTTGCCCCCCGTCCTTCCAAACAGGCCAGAACCAGAGGGGCTGGAGGAGGAGGAGGAGGAGGAGGAGGAGGAGGAAGGGGAGGAGGGGGGGAAAGGAGAGGAACTGTAGTAGTAGTAGTTGTAGTAAGTAGTAGTCGTAGTAGTAGTAGTAGTAGTAGTAGTAGTAGTAGTAGTAGTAGTAGTAGTAGTAGTAGTAGTAGTAGTAGTAGTAGTAGTAGTAGTAGTAGTAGTAGTACAAGCAGTAGTAGTAGTCGTAGTAGTAGTAGTAGTAGTAGTAGTAGTAGTAGTAGTAGTAGTAGTAGTAGTAGTAGTAGTAGTAATAGTAGTAGTAGTAGTAGTAGTAGTAGTAGTAGTAGTAGTAGTAGTAGGAGGAGGAGGAGGAGGAGGAGGAGGACGACGACGACGACCAGCAAGGCTGGGGCCTTCTCCTCCTTCTTCTTCTCCTTGCCCTTGCCCTTGCCCTTGGCGGGAGCAGGGACGGCTGCCGCTTCCTGGCCGACGGCGCGGGGCTGCTGCTGCGGCTCCTCCTCCTCGTCCTCGCTTGCTGCTGCTGCTCCCTGCCCTTCTCACCCGCACGCCCCCTTCCGCTCCCTCCCTCGCCCCTCCACCCCGACCTCTGATTCCCCCTCGCCCCTCCACCTCGCTGCTTTCTCCCTCGCCCCTCCACCCCGACCTCTCATTCCCCCTCCGTCGCGTCTTCCACCCCTCCCTGCGCCTCTTCGCTCTCCCCTCCTGCCTCCATCTCCTCACGCTTGTGCTCATGCCGTGCTCCTCCTCCCCACACAGGAGGACTATTCGCGAACTGCCAGGCCGGCAGCCAGGACGGCGGGGATGATGGGGGTCTCCCTGCCCGTCGGTATTCCTTCCTGCTGGCCTCACACAGTGCTGGGGCTTCCTGCAGGCTGACAGTGGGCCTTCATCCGATCCGACAAGAGGCCTCATAATCGAATCGACAAGTCTGATCGGCGATCGACATGGGTCGGATCGGCGGAAATCGGCAGCCGAGTCGGGAAAAGTCGAATCGACAGAAATCGTGAGGCCAATATGCCTCCAGTGAGAGATCGGAGCCCAGATCGGAATCCCGAATCGAATCGAATCGGAATCGGAAGCCATCGAAGTCATATCAGCCAGCGTTGACTCCAAATAGATAGGAGGACAGGAGGAGGACGAGAGGAAAATGGGAGGAGGACGAAAGGAGGACGGGAGGAGCAACATCAAACAAGCGCAAGCAAGCAAGCGGAAGCAAGCAAGCGCAAGCGAGCAACACCAAGCAAGCACGAGCCAGCGATCAAGTGCAAGCGAGCAAGGGCAAGCAAGAGCAAGCAAGCGATAGTAAGCACGCAAGTGCAAGCAAGCAAGAGCACGCAAGAGCAAGCAAGGGCAAGCGACTCATAGGAATCCATAGGCATCCATAGGACTCGCCATTGGAAATAGCTGGGGAGTGCCATTGGAAATAAGGGGGGATGCCATTGGCAAAAGGGGGGGGGAGCGCTCAGAGGTGGTGCATCGGCATAGGCATAGGCGTAGGCATAGGAGTTAGGGGGGAGGCATAGGCATAAGCATAGACATAGCCGTCGGAATTAGGGGGCATGGGAAGTAGCGAGGGGGAGGACAACGGACCAATTAGTTGGGTTTGACTTAGAACTCCTATAAGGCATGCCTATTTTGAGAAAATCGAGTCGAATCCAGGGAAACGAAAAATGGCATACACATGAAATATCGGAGGTCCGCGCGGATTTCTTGCATCCGCGCTGGACCGCCCCCTCCCTGGCGAGCGGAGCGCGCCATCGGCGGCGCCGGAGGCGCCGCCAAGGGGGTCCAGCGCGGATCCGACAAATCCGCGCAGACCTCAGAATTGTTTTATGTTAATGCTACTATTCTCGGGGAGACGTAAGACTCGGGTAATTACGGGGGACTCGGGCTGGCCCGACGGGGCCATCATAAAAATCACGAGGCCCAATCTGAAATATGACGCGAGCTCCCGCTGCAAACATCCCACGAAAAACTGGACCGTCAACATCCACGACGCGCTCGTCCAAAGAGGTCGGCAAGCCCGAGTTCCGACCTACTCGAGTCCTACGTTTCCCCGATGTTCGTTCCCCCAGATTCGGGGGAATCGAAACGAGCTCTAGATTTAGGTGGGGCATGTCCCCCTACTGGCGGATTCTGGACGAAACATACCCCAAACATACTCCAAACTGGCCAAAAGGAATACTCGACACGTCGCCCCCAAACTGCTTTCGTATCTCCCTCCTGCCGAGGGCCGCGCCCGACTTTCAACCCTAGAAGTCCGGCGGAACCGAAGCGAGCCCCGACACCGATCACGCCCTCCGCCGGCGGAGAGGAATCCTTAGGAATTCCTAGGGATCGTTCGAAATTCCTAGGAAACCTTCGGAATTCCTGGGGAATCCTTAGGAATTCCTCGGAAACCTTCGGAATTCCTAGGAATCCTTAGGAACTCCTAGGAATCCTTAGGAATTCCCAGGAATCCTTAGGAATTCCTCGGAATCCTCTGGAATTCCTCGGAATCCTCAGGAACTCCGGGGGATCCTTAGGAATTCCTGGGAGGCCGCGGTGCCGCGAGCCGCGAGAGGGGGCGCGCGCCTGCTCCTCGGCGTAGCCGTCCTCCTCGGCCGCCGCGGGGGCCCGGCTCCTGGGGCCGCGGCGCGCGCCACGGGCGCGGGGGCGGGCGGGCGGCTCGTCCCGGCCCGCGCCCGCGCTGTCCTGGCCCTCCCCGTCCCCGTCGTCGGCCTCGCCCGTCCGTCCTCCCATCTCCTCGTCTCTCTCTCTCTCTCTCTCTCTTTTTCACTCCTCGTCAATGTCCTCGTGCTCCTCCGTGACTCGTCCTCGTGCCCGTCGTCGTCGGCCTCGTCCGTAGGGGAACGAGCAATGACGGAAACAGAAAAACTCGGAGCTCCGCGCGGATTTCTCGGATCCGCGCTGGACCCCGCTGGCGGCGCCTCCGGCGCCGCCCCTGGCGCGCTCCGCGCGCCAGGGAATGGGATCCAGCGCCGATCCGTGAAATCCGCGCGGATCTCCGAGTTTTTATGTTTACTCCATTCTTCGTTCCCCTAGTCCGTCCGTCCTCCTGTCTCCTCCTCTCTCCCTCTCTCTCTCTCTCTCTCTCTCCCTCGTCCTCGTCCTTGTGCTCCTCCGTGCCTCGTCCTTGTCCTCACGGCTCCCATTAGCTTGCCAGCGCTCTTTCCAGCGCAACTCCTGCAACATGTGGGGGGGGTCCTCCGACAAGCTCAGACTTCCAGACCCAGCACCAATGACTCTGGCTCTGCAGGGCGCAACATATTTCGGCTGGCAGACGTTGAGCACCAGTCATTCGATCCAATCTGGTCCTCGTCGTCGTCCTCCTCCTCCCTCGCGCGCAGGGAGGAGGACGAGGATGATGAGCAGGAGAGGAAGGCGTAAGTTCAGAACAGGCCACACTAAAGCAAACCAGACCTGGCAATCCGAAGGGCGGGGCGGGGCTTCATGATCGGGAACGACACGCTCCCAGGCGAGTGGAGGAAAGAGAAAAACGTGGACGGCGACAAGGACCGAAACGCAGCGGGGAGGGAGGGCAACTCGGGGTTGGAAAACTCGCCATCGCTCGGACGTCCATTCCCTGTGTTTTTTTCGGTTTCGTGCGTGGTTTTTTCGTCAAATGATCAAGGATGCTCCTCGATGGCCCTCGCCGAAAGAAAAATGCACACGTCCGAGCGATGCCAAGAAAATGGGGGCGGAAGGGAGAAGGAGTGTGGGCGCTGACGCGCGGATCCGCTGCCGGAGGACTAACTAGGTGCGGAGACGCCCCGAGCTGGCTGGCCACTGGCTCGGCGGGGGGGCCTCCTCCTCGTGCCTCCTGGCTCGCTCGCTCCTCCTTCCTAGTGGCTCTTTCATTCATCTCCTGCTCGCTTCCCAATCCTTCATCCTGTAGCACGGACCCTGCTTTGTCAGGGACGGCTATCGCGAGCCAAAAACAAATCCGGACCACAATCGGTGTTGGTGAGTTGGCGTCCCCAAGAATGTTTTGGCCGTCTAGGGTCTAGGGCTCTCTCGCGTCATCTTGGGTCGGTCTGCCTTGTTGTTTGCGCCATCCTTGGCTTCCGTATGTCCGACCCGCAACCGTGGCGGGGTTGTGGGTGAGAGGCCTCTGGGATGCCTGTTTCGATCACTTGGGGAGCCTCTGGACGGCCTCTTAGACGAAGTTGTGGGGCCTCTTGGGGGCCTTTTGGGGTCTCTTCGAGGCCTCTTGAAGATTTTTGTGCCCCCAGTGGATGCTTCGCGGACTATCCAGGATTGAGCTCTCTTGGCCCATTCGATGCCTTTGGAAACCGTCTCGGGGGGCTCTCTTGGCCGTCTTCGGGTCTCTCTTGGAGGTTTCTCGGGCCGTCCGGGTAGGCTCTTGAGCGCTGATGGGGCCGTCTTGGGTCGCTCCGGGGCTCCATTTGGTAATTTTTGGGCTACCCTGAGGCTTCAAAGGCTCGTCGGAATCGACAGCGCGAGATCTGAACAGAACTGTCTTCTCAGGTCATTGAACACTCGCTGGCCCTTTGGGGCCTCCTTCGAGGCCTCTTGAAAGCCTGTTGTATACTCTCGGGTCCATTTTCGGGCAATCTTGGGCCGCATTGGCATTCTCGAGGGCTCCTTTTACCCATCTTAAGCCGACTTGCGGCTGGACTGATAGGTATTAAGGTCGTCTCGCTGCCCTCTGGTGCTCCTGTCGGGGCTCTCTACTGGGCCATCTGGGGACTATCCAGAGGCCCCAGAGGACCATCGGAAGCGACACAACTACATCCATAATTCAGAGCAAGTTATCGGCAGATGTTGGCCTCCTGGGGCCTTTTGGAAGCTCCTTGAAGGCCTTTTGGGGCCTCTCTTGGGGCCCTTGGCGGCCTCCTGCAAGCCTCTTGGGGGATCCCGGGGCCGCTTTGGAGCATAGCTGAGAGGATGTGCGGGGTCTCTTCGGATGTCTCTGGAGAGCCTCTTGGAGGCGGGATTGACGCCTCTCTGGGCCTCTTGAGGGCCTCGTGGTACCCCTGTCGGGCCTCGGGGGGGCGTCTGGGGGCCCGTTGGGGGTCTCCTCGGGGCCTGCTGGCGGTCTCGGGGCCCTCCTGCGGAGAGGGCGCGACGTCTCGATTGTAATCCCCGCTCTTTTTTGTTCCCCAATCGGTGCCTGCACTGAAAGGGGCCCCAGCGGATATTGAAAGATTTGGCGAGAGGGTCCCGCCGATTTTGGTAGCCGGCTGGGTTCCCGGGTTTCTGGTTCCGGGTTAGTGGTTCTGGGCTGATTTCAGTGGGTTCTGGGTTCCCAGGTTCCCGGTCGATCTCCTTTCTCTTCATCGATCCCACCATTCGTCACCATGATCGATCTCATCAAACCGCATCAAACCGTCCACTGATTGGGGTTTTCTCTGGTGCAAAATTGTACGCGTGGCCGAACTTGCGGGAGGGCATGCGGGTCAGCGCGATGCCAACCTTGTCCAGGCGCTCCCTCTCTCTGAAGCGGGGCGCGCCGGGGGCGCCGTGGTCGGTGTGCGCGCGGGCCGCGGAGGAGCAGAGGCGGGGAGGGAGGTGCACGGTTTCCCCTCGGGGCCGTAGGCGCCCCGAGGAGGAGGAGGAGGAGGAGGCCGCAGGGGGTGTGGTTTTTCGTGGGCGGAGCTGCGGGGACCTGCGGCCCAACAGGCGCCGCACGGCTCCTGGGATTGCGGGCGCGGTCGGGCCCAGACTGGTCACACGATGTGCTCGGGCAGAGAGGCCACACCCGCCTCGCAAATCCAATACACGCTGGACGAGCAACCACAAGTGGAAGCACATGCACTACGACAGAAAGATCATGCTCCAAACGCAAGGCTGCATGTGGGGGGTGCTCTTCGGGTAGACGCACACTGAAGCGCGAGAGTCGTAATGGGGCAGAGGTCCATGGCCTTCGCGGGCAACACCAAGTGGGGATGAACATTGGCGTTTCACCAGCCCAGGACCTGGAAGATGACATGCCCACTTGGAAGATGGCATGCCCACTCTAATTGGAACATTCGGCCAGCAACCTCGGCTTCAGGCAAAGAGGATGAAAACAGGGTCAGGCAAAAACAGACGGCGAAGCGGTCGAAGCGAGCCGACGCTGCCGCGTCCTTCCAGCGTACTTCGGGCCCTGGTTTGTCAGGGCTGACCAGCCGCCCGCCTCAGGGAGGGGATAGAAGAGGCAGGGAGGGGATGAGAAAGGTCGGTGGTAGGGAGGAAGAGGCGGAGACGACAGGGGAGGGGACGGGGCGGGAGGGGAGTGAATGAAATGGAAGGCGCGCCCACATGGGAGCCGAACAGCGAAGACGGCGCCCCCGCCAGGGCCACTGTGCGCCCGCCTCCCGCGCAGCCGCCCCTGCTGCCAGCAGCACTGACCCTGGCCGGAGCCCTCGGGAGCGTCGGGCAGCCCTTGCCAGGGGGGGGGGGCAGCCACGTGAGCGACGAGCAAGAGCGGGTCTCACGCGAGGTGGCACGGACACCTTACGCCGCAGCTTGCGCGGGCCGCCAGCGCGGCACGCTACATGGGAGACGAGAGCGCTTACGCCCGACCTTGCGCGGGCAGCTCACGCACCAGTGTCGGCGCAGACGACTCCGTTTTAATTTTTCTGTGTGTTGCTCATATTGTACCTGCAGCGGTCCTGGACAGACCCGTTCTTGGCCCTGGATTGGTGTATCCGCCACCGTGCCTCGATCGCCCCAGGATGCTCAAGATGGACCCCAGATGGCCAAAGAGGCCTCCAAGACGCCCAAAGAGGCCCCCAAGAGGCACCTCAAGAGGGTCCCAAGAGGGCCCAAGGCGGCCCCAAGACGGCCCCCAAAGGGGCCCCAAAGAGGAAACACTGACCGAAAATCCGAGCCTTCCGCCCCAAGAGGCCCCCAGGAGGTCCCGATAGGCGCCCAGGAGGCCCCAAGAGGCCCCGAAGATGCCCCCAAGAGGCCAGGCCCCGACGATGCCCCCAAGAGGCCCAAAAGAGAGGATGGGCCGAAGGCCGTTAGACACGCCCTTCAGGATTGGCCAGGCAGGCGTATCTGTAGACCGCCCCCTGGCCCAGGATTTTTCTGGCCAGGATCGGTGTGGGTGCACAAATGGTATCCCCCGACATGCGCCCGCTCCCGACATCTGTAGGCGTGTCAGATCCCTTCCTGGATGCAGTGGGACAGCCTCCGGATCCCAGCTAGAGGTGGATTCGTTACGAGGAGGGTGAGAAACACGTAAACAATTCGTCACTCCCCACCCCCCCGTGACTAAACAACTGAGCTGAACCCCGCCAGAAGGCCCTCGGGTAGAGTCCCGACCAAGAACTCCCGTCGCCTTCTTTTTCTTCTTCTTCTCCTCTTGCGCAGCGCCGCCATCGTTGTCGGCTGTGGTCTCCTGTCGGGCTCCCTCTCTTTCTCTCTCTGTCTCTCTCTTCGCAGCGCTGCGCATGTTCGGCTTGAGAGGGACGAGGGGGAGATGAGAGGGAAGGAGTGCGGGCAGACACGTGACTCACTGCACTGCACTGCGAGATCCCGTCCGCACCAGCGATGGCGCACGCCTACTTTTTTGTAGTTTCTTGATTCATATATGTATATATAGATATATTCATCCATACATACATACATACATACATACATACATACATACATACATATTTAATTAACACAAAAATGGCGCACACCTACTATGGACATCCCCCGCGCTGCCATGTCTGGGCCCTGCACCGCTGCTCTCGTGCCGCCTCCTGGCTCTGCAGGCTCTGCTGCAAGATGGTAGGACGTGGCTGGGTAATTTTGAAGGGGCCCTAGGGCACGCACACACACACACACACACACACACACACACACACACACACACACACAACACACACACCACACACACACCACACACACACACACACACACAACACACACACACACACACACACACACAACACACACACACACACACACACACACACACCACACACACACACACACACACACACACACACACACACACACACCCATTCACACACACACACACACACGCACACGCACGCACGCACCACCACGCACACACACACACAACCGCAACACACACATCACACACACATCACACACACCACACACACAGACGCACACACACAGACACACACACACAGACACACACACAGAGACACACAGAGACACACACAAACACAAAACACAAACACAAACACAAACACAAACAAAACACAAACACTGACACAGACCAGACACAGACACACCACACACACACACACACACACACACACACACACACACACACACGCACGCACGCACGCACGCACGCACGCACGCACGCACGCACGCACGCACACACACACACACACACACAAACACACACACAAATACACACATAAAAAGGATTCCCCATGTTTCTCCATATTTTCTGGGTTTCTGTGTTCCCCCCCACTGCCCATATTTTCCGATATTTTTCAGGGAATCGACGATTAATTGTGTCTTTGCGTTTTTTTCCTCCTCCTGAAATTTGCACCAAGCGGCTACATGCGGACGAAGATGGGACGCACAGGGACATACTAATACTATATGTCCTCCTTGGAGGCGCACGTCCGACCCGAACATGCAGTATACCCATCTTGTAGTACATCGTTTCCCGAGCGGTGTGGCCAGAAAGCGCCCGCCACGACGCATATACTATAGAATTTCTCGGTGCGCGCGTCGCCCCCGGGGGGGGCGACGCACATATATATATATATATATATTATTATATATATATATCGCTCGTACATGAAGCGATATCTATGTGCGTCGCCCCCCCCCCGGGACGCACATACATACACATATATATATATATATACATATATATATATATATAAGTATGTCGGGGTGGCGCCGAGAACAGACAGATAACTGCCTGTGGTTTTTGCGCGATGGGCACACATCGAGCCAACGGCTCCCTTGTCAGAAGCGGCGGAGACGGCATTCTGACGACCACCCACAGTCTGGACGCTTTTTCACGATCCAGCTGCTGACAAGCGCCATCGGGGCTGGTTCAGTAGTCGTCCCGCCGCCGCACAAATGCTCTCCCACATCTGTCCGCTGTAGGCCACCACGATCGTTTGTGACCGTGTGGCTTGTGACCGCATGAGAACCAGAGGGACGGAGATACATAATGATGGAGGGAGAAACGGAGACAGAAAGAGAAGGGGGGGCCACGGGTGGATCAAAAAGCTTTAACAAGAATGCTGAGAATGCTGAACAAGCCCTTGCCTGCCCAGAGGCCTGGCCAAGGTGGCAACGGTCATTATGGATCGATCGCGTCGTAGGGAGGGGCGGCCTAACATGGGGCGATGCATACAGCAGGGGGCATCGAAACACGAGAAAGAGCGTGTTCTACCGCTGCTGGCGGAAAACCGGGGGGGGCCACTGAGGGTTCCCAATCCGCCCCCCCCCCCCTCGAAAACCCGGGGGGGGTCACTACCGGTTCGAACCCCTCCCACCCCCAGTCCATCATGAAAAGGGGGGGGATCACTACTGATTCGAACCCCCCCCCTCGAAAACCGGGGGGGGGTCACTACCGGTTCTAACCCCCCCCCATCGCCGCCAGCAAACGATTCCCGCTCCTCGGGACAGTTGGACAATGGTGGGGATACTGGGACAGTGGTGGGAACGGTGGTGGTTGGGACAGTGGTGTGGGAACAGTGGGACAGTCGTGCGGACAGTGGTGGGGACGGTGGTGGTGGGGACAGTGGTGAGGGGACAGCGGGACAGTGGTGGGGACAGTGGGACAGTGGTGGGGACTGTGGGACGATGGTGGGGACGGTGGTGGTGGGGACAGTGGTGTGGGGACAGTGGGAATGTGGTGGGGACAGTGGGACAGCGGTGAGGACAGTGGTGGTGGGCACAGTGGTGAGGTGGCGAGGACGGCGGTGGGACAATGGGACAGAGGTACAGTGGGGACAGTGGTGGGGACAGTGGTGGGAACAATGGGACAGCTCAGTGGGACAGCGGCGGGGACAGTGGGACAGTGGGGACAGTGGGACAGTGGTTGGGGCCGTGGGGAAAGTGGGGAGAGTGGGACCGTGGTGGGAACAGTGGTGGGGACAGTGGGGACAATGCGAAAATGGTGGGGGCACTGGTGGGGACAGTGGGGACAGTGGTGGGAACAGTGGGGACCGTGGTGGTGAGGACAGTGGTGCTGGGGACAGCAATGGGGGATGTGGTGCGGACGGTGGTAGGGACCCGGGTGTCGTTTGCCGGCGGTGAGCGTGGGGGGGGGAGGGGTTCGAACCGGTAGTGACCCCCCCGGTTTTCTGGAGGGGGGGAGGGGTTCGAACCGGTAGTGACCCCTCCTGGTTTTCTGGGTGGGGGGAGGGGTTCGAACATGTAGTGACTCCCCCGGTTTTCCGGAGGGGGGGGGGGGGTTCGAACCGGTATTGACCCTCCCCCCGGTTTTCCGGAAGTGGGGGGGGTTACGGGGGGGGGTGTTTTGCCGTGGGGAAGGGGGGGGGGTTCCAGCAAGGGGAGCGATTTTCGGAGGGGGGGGAACCCTGGGTTCCGGAGGAAGGGGGGAATTTTCCACAGTAAAGCGGCGGTGGATCACGCTCTCTCAAACATGAACATGATAAACCTGTCGACCAACTATCTCGGGCCCCTCGGCCAAAACTGCTGCCCAGAGATTCTCAACCCTACTCTGAAGATGCCGACAAACCCACGGGTGACACTACCACCCAGGCAGCCCTCGGCTAAACCTGATACCCAAACATCCCTCCCTGCGACGACTAACATACCCATCACCCGCTGATAAGAACTATTGCACCACCGGAGCAACCTCACGCCCAGGATACATCTGCACCGCTCCCCTGAGAAACTGAGATCCGAAAGCTGCGGCGAGCAGGTCGGTTGGTAAAATCAACCTCGCAGGAAACAAACCACGGGCAGCGCGCCCGTGCACAGACCCCTTTGCCCGCGAGGTGTGGGTGACCCCCGCGAGAGAATGCCTACTCGGGGGCGCGCACACATGGATTCGCGATCCATGGATTTGGCGCGCTGTCGCCAAATCCATGGATCGCGGGAGGTGCCCTCGCCAAAATGCCGCGGGCGCCGCCTCGTCCGGCGGCGGAAACCCGCGATTTTGTTGTCCAATGGAAACGGGGCCCGTCGCCAATCCACGCCCCCTTGATCCATGTTGGCGATCGCCTGACACACGCAGAATCGGTGGACTAGTCGGCCCCAAGGTGAGGAGTCGGCCCCGAGGAGCGGCCACCGTCCCCGGCAGAGCTGGGGCGAGGGTGCCGCTGATGAAAGGGCGGTGCCGCGCCCCAGCCCGCGGCCCCCGGCTCCTCCCGCGGGGCAGCCGGGGCGGCGTAGAAGGAGCTGCCGCCGTCGGTGGGCATCACCAGCTCCCCCATCAGCTTTTCCCCGTCCTGGCCGAGTGAGGGAGCGACGAGATCGACGACGCGGGTGACGGCGACGAGCGCTGATGTCCGCAGCCGGACGCGGGAGCGCGTGGGAGCGTGCACGGAAGCGGGTCCGGGGCTCGTCAAATGATGCTCTTCAACATCATGCTCACTTCAACTGTCTGAGGACTCACCCGTCTGGCGACCCGAAATCATCGCGATGATGTGAGTTCGCAGCTTTCGGCATCCGGGTGTCGCTGCCGTGCCCCAGGACCATCAAGCACTTGCTGGGGATGAAAAGCTGGTCCTGGGGAAGGGACTGAGGGCTCCTGGGGCGAGCGACTCGGAAAATATGAAGTCGTCGGGTCTGGGGAGGAGGGAGGGGACGGGGTGGGCGCAGAAAGAACATAACAGTGATGAGATAGAACGGAGGAGGGGCGCTGGGCAGATTACAGTGCATACAGCAGACGAGGCACATCTGCCTCTCAACTATCAGCGCGTCTCGCTCTACACACCGACCGCCAGCCCACATCAGGGCTGATGAAGGGAATCGTCCTCTCCTGGTGGCCAGGACGTGCATTCGCGTTGCGAGGATACGTTTGGTGACGGTACCAGCTTCACACCTTCAACGAAGGCCAGACTCATCCTGGGGAAAAGGTCGGTGTAGACACCCTCCTGGCTTTTCCAGGGAAGGCATCTGCACCGACCCTGGGCCCGGGATCGGCCTGCCTCTGGGGCAGGAGGAGGCGTATGGTCGACGCCGCCCTCCGACGGTGCGAGGATACGATGTGGCGAGCTCACGTTTCCCTCGAGCGTCATGACGCCCGGGTACCCGACGGCACCCGCGGCCGCGGTGCTATTCGCCGCGGGGCGCCGCGGGGCCGCCGCCAGCGGGGCCAGCGTCTTGCTGTGCCCCTGCGCCCCCCGATGCGCGGCCCGCCGCGCCGAGAGGGGCCCGCGCGCGGAGCCCAGGGCGCGCGGCAGGGGCCCCTCGGCCCTCGCCGGCGCCCTGGCGCCCCGGGCGCTGAGGGGCCGCGGCTCGCGGCGTGCGGCAGGGCCGGCGATGGGCGGCAGCGGGGCGGAGGAGCCCGGCCTGGCGGCGGCCGCGCGGCCCGCCGCCGCGCGGCGGGCGCCCGCGCGGGGCCGGCGCGGCCGCGAAGGGCTCGGCTGCGAGGCGGGCGGCGGCCGCCTCGGCCTCTTCGCCCGGCGCGCGCCGGGCGCCCTCGCGGGGCGTGGGCTCGCGGCCGGCGAGGGCGTGCCAGGGCTCGCGGCCGCAGAAGGGCGCGGCGTGGAGCAGCTCGTGATCCCGCACGTACCTCTTGCGCACCTCGAACGCCGCGGCGCGATCGCCGCTGGGCCACGCCAGGCCGTAGGCGTCCCAGAGGCGCACCACGGCCTCACAGAGGCGCGTGCTCTGTAGCTCGCTGCGTGGCACCAGCGGCACGGCGGCCCGGAGCGGCGCGCTGAAGGTGCAGAACCACAGCATCAAGGCCTGCCTGCGGGCGTGCTCCCTCGACCGGAACTTGAGCTCCACGAAGCGCAGCGTGCCGCCGCCGCCGGCCAGCACCCCCAGGGCGCCGTGGGCGCCCGCGCCGCCCGCCCTCGCGGCGAGCTGCATGGACGGCATGGTCGCGGTCACGATGTAGCTCTCCGTGGGCTCCGCCTGTAGGGGACCATATGCGAACCCTACCCCTACCCCCACGATTTCTGAAGGGGAGGCTGGGGTTCACTTCGTTCGGGAGCTCACGAGCGAAGTGAACTCCACCCTCCCCCTTAAAAATCGTGGGGGTCAGGGGTAGGGTTCGCATGTGGCCCCCGAGCCTGGCGCAGGCAGCCGGGCATGCCCCGCGTCAGCAGGTCGTGCACGCCCCGCACGCCCTCCAGCGACGCGTCGTCCGGGCCCAGCACCTCGGGGTCGCCCGCGGCGCCCCAGAGCCACGCGGGCAGGCCGCCCTCGCGCCGCCGCGCGCGGGCGCGGTGCTCCTGCCGGGCCGCGGGCGTGGGGGCGGGCCTGCCCAGGCCGCGGAGGTCCTCGCGCACCAGGGCCGGGCCGTCCGTGCCCTGGGAGGGATGCTGTTCCCCTCGCAGAGGAGGAGGAGGAGGAGGAGGAGGAGGAGGAGGAGGAGGAGGAGGGGAGGAGGAGGAGGAGGAGGAGGAGGAGGGGGGAGGGAGGAGGAGGCGGAGGAGGAGGAGGAGGAGGAGGAGGAGGAGGGAGGAGGGAGGAGGAGGAGGAGGAGGAGGAGGAGTCAGGGCCACGTCCCAGAAAGAATCTCGAGCACCCAGGAAAAACGCATCGAGAAGCAGTGCCGGACGAGTGTCGCCTCCCGGGGCCCAGTGCGTGAAGAGTGTGCGGTTTCGGTGCTTTCCTGGTGCTCGAGGCTCTTCCTGGTGATCAAGGCTAAAAAGTAGGTTGGAACATCATGACCTTGGAGTAGCCCCAGGCGAGGGACCGCTCGCGGACCATCGGAGAGTAGCGGTTCACGGAGTTGATCAGGTTCAGGGCTAGGAAGATGCGCTCCTCCATGTAGAGCACGGCACTCTTCACCGCGCCGACGTAGCGCAGCGCGCCCTCCAGCAGGTGGAAGCGGCGCCGCAGGAGGCTCCACCGCCAGGCTTGCTGGATGCAGACCGCGGCCCTGCGCAGAGCCTCAGCCGCAGAGGACAGAGGATCACAAAAGCCACTAGGGTCACACGCCTCACAAGCCTGAGGGTCACGAGGGCAGGAGGAGATCAGATGGAGAGCAAATCAGTACGACATGAAGTGGAGAGAAGCGAGCCTCCCCATCCTCCTCTTCCTCCGTCTCCTTCACCCTCCTCATCCTCATCCTCATCCTTATCCTCATCCTGACCTTCATCCTCGTCCTCCCTCCCTCATCATACTCCCTTTTCATTCACACCCCTCTCTTCCCTGTTCTTTCCTCCCCCTCCTCATCATCCCTCCCTCCTCCCTCCTCCCTCCTCCTCCCTCCCCTTCTCCCCCTCCTCCCCCTTCTTTCCCCCCCCTTCCACTCTCCCCCCACTTCCCCCTCTTCCCCCTCCTCCTCCTCCTCCCTCCTCTTTCCTCCTCACTCCTCCCCTCTCCACCCTCCTCCTCCTCCTCTACTCCTTCCTCCTCCTCCTCTTCCTCCTCCCTCCTCTCCTCCCTCCTCCTCCTCCCCCCTCATTCCTCCCCCTCCCCATCCTCCGCCTCCGCCTCATCCTACTACTCTCGTTCTCGTCCTCGTCCTCCTCCTCCTCCTCCTCATCCTTCCTCCTCCTCCTCCTCCTCCCTCATCCCCCCCCCCCTCCTCCTCATCCTCCTCCTCCTCCTCCTCCTCCTCCTCCTCCTCCTCCTCCTCCTCCTCCTCCTCCTCCTCCTCCTCCTCCTCCCAAGCGTTGGCTCTGCAGGGCTGACCACACTCTCCTACGCCACCGTACAATAATTTAGCCCACACTGCTACCTCTTCGGCGCTCGTTCAGTCGAGGCAGCGTGTCTCTCTTGGTCTTTCACTTGCGTGAGTTGAGGGCCCACAGGGACAAGTGCAGCCTCGACCATCCGCATAATGACTACGGCGCTGGAGAGGGTCAAGCACACATTGAGTATCCTGCAATTCAATCCCATGTACGCCAGTACCTCTGACAGATTGCAGGGCGTCGCCGACTTATCACAGAACGCTGATTTTACTTATCTCAAGTCAACAGGTGTGCAGCGTTACGGACCAGCTGGTGTGGCTACATGGCGTCGAGTGGGCACTAGATGGTGCCTGGATGCTGGCTGGTTCAGATCTCCACATAACAGTAAGTCTTGTGGCTGTTCTATGCTCCTCGGGCCGCACATCAAGCGCAGCACGGTGGTACAAACATCTGTGTGTCGAATTCCTGGCCGAGGTGTTGCTCTGCGTGCACGCTGTAAGCATTCTGATGTGGCTGTGGTTTCAATTTACTTTCCCCCAGTTCCTGCGAAGGCTTGTCATTTCAAGGCTTATTATCAGACGTGTGATTATCTAATGACATGATTACGGTCATTGCCTTTCTGGAGCGTGCATCGAGTTTTCCCAATCATCTGCGCCGACCTTAACTCGGGCTTTGGGCTCACGCGATTAGAAGGTTCGGAACTTTGGCGACCCATAGAGAGCACAGCGGTTGGACCTCACCACGACAAAGTACGACAGAGATATTCAGCAAAGGTCCTCCTCCCGTTCCTGGGCATGCTCGATATGACGGTGCTCAACACCTACCGTGGATATGGCGCTACATACGTCAACAACAAAGGGCAAGGCAATCAACTGGACTACATCATCGTCCCGAGGTGTTCGTTATCTCAGACTCTCACGGCTGGGCCGCTACGACGTATGGGCAGATCATTACAGGTCATGGCGGCTCACACGCCTCGAGACCACATCCCAATTCACGCTCGACTTGCATATTCGTTTACGGACACACTTGGATTACCGACGGCAGTTTCTGACCATCCGCAGCTGGGCTTTGTGCAGACTGTACACCGCTGGAACAGAGATGCCCTTATGGACGGACTACGCCGAGGTACCCACAGAATGGAATTTCTTCGAAAGGTCGGACAACGGATTTCTGACGAAATGGATGAGTGAAAGCAGTTTCAAAGGGAGGAACCGACATCCAACAGATATTGGTCCTACTTGCTTCAGGTCATCGGCGAGGCAGCGGCTCCGTATGTCACGACTCCACCTTCGCCATCATCGGAGTACAAGCAGCAAGCAGCCCACGTCACCAGTCTCATACAGCAACGGCGTCAACTTCGTGAGGCACTAGGCGCAGCTACTCATATCAACGAGATTGCCATTACTACAGAAGAGCTTCGGGCGCTCAGCAAGGACCTACGACGCCGTCGCCGACGGTACCTCACTCTGTGGCGCCAGGGCATCACCGACGAGCTGGTGGCGGCCCACCAGCAGGACCGCAAGGCCGAGGTTGCTCGCTTGTCTCGCCTGCTGTCGGCCAGGGGCACAGACCCCAAGAAGCGCAAGTATAAACAAGCTGCTGCTGCTGTTCCCTGCTCCGAAGACCTCAAGGCTCGGCTTCAGTTGCTCTCCAGCCAGGGGGGCTTGGAGGCCACCATCATCGACTGGTTTCAGGCGGCCGAGGATTTTGTTTGTACCATCCTGAGCTTGGGCTGGAGACCGAACAGTTCATGTTCCCCTTCACGAAGGACGGCCTCCAGTGGGCCACGGAGAAACTCCAGTTGATATCCAGATACTTTCGGAAGGCCAGTAAACGAAGAACAGCTCCCCCCGTGGTCGCTCCCTCTTGAGCTCTTCTGGATGCTCCTGCACCCCTACAGAAGGATCTCCAAAAGGTTTCGAGGGCTAGGCTACGAGGCTCCTACGGTCGACCAGAAATGGACCAGGTACTACTTAAATGTATTTCTACCTCGAGTTTATCGGTCAAGGCAAACACCAGTAGTTTGGCACTTATCCCACGGCATCGCCATCAATTTTAAGAGGCTCGTGCACGTGTTGTGCCCGTTCGGCAAGGCCTTTATCGCCACAGGCCTCCGACCCGATCAGCGTGATCGGGAGCCTCTCTTTGCGCACGGCTGCGTGGCTGGACGACGACGAGAGACGGCCATGATGATTCAACAGAGTTTGCGTTGGCGTCTTCGACGCCTAGGCTTGCACCATATTCGTGACCACAAGGACATCACTAATGCCTTCGGCAACACCGACTGGACCCACCTCTCGATCACCAACGAGGCCATTATGAAGCCCCAGGCGATCCGCTTTGGTGAACAACGTTTTAGGAGGTCAGCTGTTGCCTTTCAAAGTCCCGACGGGTTCCTCTTCGCCAAGCCTCATGTGGGAGCTCTCCAGGGGGACCCGTGGGCCGTCAAGATCCTCACCAGAGACATAGATATCGTGTTCGAGCAGACCCAGGACGCGTTTATCGAGGGAGATGATGAGACTTCAGACTGGTGTATTGCTGATTTGCCGCAAGATGAGGAGGATGAGGAACCTATCGAGTCAGACCTGTCGTTTCACACGTATGTAGACGATGCTACCAAGACGCTGATTACTGGATTGAGTGGCACCGCGTATCATACCGAGCTCAGCTCCAAATCGATCTCCTACAACACCCTCCTCTCTGACCAGCTCCTCACTCACAACTACCTCCTCAATCCTACGAAGAATGAGACGGTGCTGGCCCTTTTCGGAGAAGGCTCACAGGCTGGCCGCACGAGATTTAATGCCAACGCGCTTCCGACAGCCAGTGTGCCCAGCGACTTCGCCAAGATGCTGGGGGGGCCTCGTGCGTGCAGATTGTACATTCAACAGCGAGCTTTCGGCCAGGCTTGCAGCAAGTGATGCAAGTTCTCACATCATGGGCCGATATTGGTATCAGCATGGTATTCCACCAATTGAGAAGCGAGCTGTATTTCTTTCTCGGGTTCTAGGGCCAGCAGTTTCTGGAGTAGAAGCTTTTATCCCGACACAAGCGCACCTGGATAAACTACAAGCACGAGTATTGCACTATGCACGGAGGGCGATGAGGGGAGGAACAACATACGAAACGGATGGGCACAAGGTCTCGCTTTCCGACATGCAGGTTTATCGTTTTTGGCAGATGGCTCCAGTAGGACATGAGCTTAGAGCGAGGAGGATACATAAGGTGGTATCAGAGGTGGGTAGGGAATCCTAAACAACACATTGC